AAAAGAGCGTAGAGAAGAAAAATGAATGATCACCGCAGGAGCCCCCAAAAAAACGAGTTAATTCGGCAGGTGGTGTTCCTTCACTTTCACGTGTCCCGCATCCCAATAGGACTGTGAGAGATGCATGTATATTTTAATCCCTGCACGAATAAAAGAAACAACTGCCCCGGTCGCACACACAACCACACGCACAGCCACGAGGCCGGCACCGCGTGTGTCTGCGTGTGTGTGTGCGGGGGGCAGCCGCAAACAGGAGGGGAAAAGGGTGCGCCACCCGTGGAAACGTGCATGGGGTGGAAAAGCAAAAAAAAAGAAACCTTCCCTCAGGGCACAGGAGGGAGAGAAGAATTGTCCCAAAGGGACAAAAAGCAAAATGAGCACACAAATAATACGCGTCGCCCCTGCCAGGGTGTGTGGGTGCGAATACCTTTTGCCCCTCACCACTTACCCAGCAGCACAGGCAAGGGCAGCCGTGAGGAGCAGCATGAGAGGTGCACGCACAAACAAAGTGGAGGTGGCACTGCGATCCGCAGCGTTCGCCACGGCCTTCTGAGTGGTATTGCTGTTGGTGGCACTGCCGTCCGCGTTGCTTTTCGCGTCGTTCCCATCACTCGAACTGTGGGTGGTCGCCGTCGTAGTAGTAGTAGTGGTGGTTCCTTTATTGTCGCCGGCGGCAGGGGCGGCGTTGGGCGTGCCAGATCGGTCTTGGGGGGTTGAAGGTGTTTGTGTACCTCCGGGTGCATCGGCTGCCCCGTCTGCTGTCTGTGCTGGCGAAGCCGCAGTGCCAACCGACGGCGTTGGTGTTGTCTGAAGACCTTTTGCCGATGGTTCCTGAGCTCTGCGTTCCGACGCACTGACCGGCAGCCCTGCAGAATCAGTGGGTTCATTGGGCACCAGCCGACTGCCGCCTGGCGGATTGTCCGCGTGCTCAGTCTTGACAGGAGCTGAAGGTGCTGGCAGTTGTTGTTGTTGTGTGCCTGCTGGTTGCTGTTGTCCTGGAGGTTGTTGTGGTAGAGACTGCGCTTCAGTCGCGGGTTGACTGGAGTTTGGGAGGTCACAACCGCCGGACCCGCCGAGTGGATTGTCCGTTGGACTGATGGTGACATTTTCGCTCCTCGACAGATTGTGCAGCGCGCTGTTTTCGGCCGCCGTACAGTTCATCGTGAACGCAACAACTTTGTTCGTGTCTCCATCTGTGGCGGACGGAGGGCAGCTCCGCGTCAGGGACGTGTCCAGGTACACCGAACCGGCAACGAGGCAGAGGGTATTGCTGGCAGCAGCGCCTTCAATGCCCCCCGCACCCGTCACTGCCTGCGGACACTCCCTCCAGGCAGTGGAATCGCCCTTGTCAGCAACGCGCCAACGCAACTCGTTGCCGGTGGCCGAGCACGACACCTCCACCGAAACATGCACCGACACATTCACATCCCCGGTCGTCTGAGCCCCCTCAGCGTTCGCCCCGCAGCCGCAGAGCAGCGCGAGGAGCGCCAGGGCGCACACCGCACGGCGACGCACCGCCATTGCCATCAGGCAAAATATTGGCCGTAGAGTCGCCGGGGACAGTGAGCTTCAAGGCGGCGGGGAAGGCGGAGGCAGGAGAAAAAGAGCGAACGAGAGAGAGAGAAAAGAGAAAAGAGAAATAGCACAAAGAGGGCGGCCCACCGAGTTCACGCAGCCACATGCACACGAGAAAGCCGCACACGGCACTGCCAGCACCGACTGCAAACAGGGACCATCCACGTGCCCTGCAACTTGTGCCGTGCCGTGTGGTTGTGTGCCTGCCGAGGCGCAGTGAGTGGAGGGGAATGAACGGCAGGAGAAGACTGGTGGGACTCGGGGCGGCAGTGCGGCTTTCCCACAGGCTGAAGCTGCCGACAAGACCGCCCCGCCAATGGGAGAGGTTTCGCGCCCGCCAGCGCGGTGCAACACCGCGAAAAAAGAGAAAACATGCACTGCCCTCCCCCGCCCTCCCCTGCCGCGCGCCGCAGCACGTCTCCCGTGGCCTCTCCGCACCGCCTGCCACCGAAGCGGAATAAATGAACAAAAACAGTCGATTGAAGCCAAAACAAAGTTGCCCTCCTCCTTTGCAGAGTGCATCTTACACACACACACGGGCTGCAAAAAGTGTGCGGGCACCCAAAACAACACAAACACAAGCAGAGAAACAAAAACAAAAACAAACCCCAATGAAGCCGAAGCGTAGGGGCGCGTCCACCGAGCAGTGGGGAAGCGCAGCAACACGATGGAC